AGTTAAAAATTTTACCTAAATTTTGTGCCTATTCTTGAAAAAAAAAACGGAATGAATTATCTACATTATAATAAAATCCAGGGACATTTATTTGATTAGCAGTAACTTAATATTCTGATTTCCTCATGTTGAATAACTATTGTCTAGCTTTTCTATTACAACTATAGCTCAGCAAAACGCGATGTGGTATTCCGCAAAGTTGCATTGTCATTGTTAAACCATCAAAAATTGTCAATCACAATTCCGAATATATGCAGGAAAATGTTCTTATAGTACCTCCCACAAGAACTATAACTCATTTTCTCATACATATATTGTCACAAAGTTAACATACCAGATGAGATTAACAAAAAATGAATAAACTTTATAAAACTGCCCGAAAGAAGTACTTTTCTTTGAATTTTCCTTGTTGTCTTTTTTTCCAATAATAAAATTACATTTTTTAATAATTTTTCCTTACATTAATTTAGCAAAATATTTCCTTTTCATTTCCATTTTCAATGCATGTATTTCCCTCCAAGGGTAGGTATCATTTCAAAACAACATATTGCTTTCCCACCCTCAAGATTCTGTTAGCTGTCTTGCGTGCATCCAGCTTCGCGGATATTAATTTTCAATACCTCCCCTATTTGAATTTTGGGTCCAGTCAGCCCCATTGTGAAAAAAAGGGGAAACATTTTGTTCTCTCCCTGATTCAAATCACAAAGCTTTTGGGGGTTTATTAAAATATTATTAATCTTGTCATGCCCACATGCAGACTGTTAAATATTCTGTCAGCGGGTTGATGCTGAATAATGGTGGATATTAAAAATACACAGACACACATACTCATGTATAGATGCATATATTTTAGATGTTAATTCAATATCGATTTTAATTTATTTCATCATAAATGAAAAAATCGTGCTTTTATAAATCATTTAATAGTATCTATGGGTATAACGCATGCCCCAGTGCAAAATAAGCTTCGAGCTACAGCGCATCTGTATTTTCAACTTATGTATTCCTCCCTAAGTGATAAATCTGCGTAATAAATTCGTCAAACAAACTCATTAATTTAACAAATACCACTTTTTGCTGAAAACCGTCAACTTTTCTTTTATATTTCGCACGAGCATCGTTCAAGTCGTTCCTATTAAAGTTTCATTGCAAAAACGCAAACGATCCTCGGATTTGAAAACACACTTAAAGAGAGAGAAAGTGTACAAAAAAGGTTGACAATAAACCCATTGAGAGCCGCGATAATTCCCGGAAAATATATTTACTTTTTTAGCCAGTTTCAACGATTTTTTTATTGCTAAACTTCACAAAGCGATGGGTCATTAGAAGAGGACAAGAATGCTGGAAAAAGTTTATATTGCAACATTCTACGCGTTCATTGTCAAGTTGATGATTATTCCAGTAAATACAAGTGCAAATTATGATGAAGGATTCACACTGCGAAAGTTTAGGCTCGGGAGGAAATGACGCAATTTCTAGATGACGTGCTAGATTATTTTTCTTAACTTTGGTAGTAAAGCATTAGTAATTCAAAGGCTAATGTTAAAGTAAAATTTAAACTTTTTTTGTAGGTCTATTCTAAAGTAATAATTCTGTATCGAATATCTTCTAGGAAGTTAATTTATGATGTTGCACGAGACGAGATACAATCTTGGCTTGCAACGAATATTTTACCAGTTTATTTCGGTTTCACTATTTAGAACTCAGCCAGCAAGCGTAAATTAAATTATATCTTCCTAAACAAGTAATTCAGGGAACCGAGGATTCTGAAAATTTTGTAATTAATCCACTAAAGCCGCAGCGCACGATATGAAATGCATTTTCCTGCGATGAGTTTCATTTAGCTTCGGGTATTACACATCCTAGAAAGTGAAAAAGTAATAAGGTTTCGGTTTATTTATTCAAAGCCTGGAAGAATGATACGCTGGTGTGAGGTCTGAACTAAAAGCGGCTTCGTACCGCGTCGAGCAATTATCATTATTAAATCTCAGAGGTGGAAACGAGAATAATTACATGGATACCGCGATCCGTGGAAAATCTTTGGATTATATACCTTCAAGGAATGCTAAAGAAAAATCGGACGTGATAGGTGTGTAATAGACACGTAGTAGCCGACAGGTGAAAAACATTGTGGAGCTATAGGATTCATATGAACGCTAGAATTAGGAACACAAGCCACAATACGCTACATATTTGGTATATTCAATTTGTCAATGTATTTTATAAATTGAAATGTGCATTACTATATGCTTTAGTAGCAAAAAGAATTATCATTTACATGCCGGCAGTCCTGGTAAAATATTGTTCTCAATTATGGGTACTCGTATAGTTCAAAAATTCTCAATATTTTTAAATACCTTTAATGATTAGTTAGTTTTTAGATGTCCGTGTGAATATGAGTAATATTCTTCCAGTGTGCACTATACATTTTGCAATTTTATTCGTCCAGATGTCTAATTATCCTTCGTCGACTCTGTGACTATCTAGAAATATTCTACGTGCGAAGAAAATCCTGTTACAATTGTCGCTTTGTGATGAAATTAAAGGAAGAAAACTAGTTTGAAAACGTGCTGCCATCAACGTGCGTTAAGACAAAATTAAAAGTCCACACTTGCTCTTTTAAATCTCTTGTCGTATTTAATCTTTGTAGATTGTGATAAGAAATCTGGCTATGTATGATGTATATGCATGATGTTAACCCAATAGAAAATCATTTTTTGTCTTTAAATCGTGGTGTTTTTATTCCATATAATTATAGGTAATAAACATTATGTTTTGCATCATGCACCGTGATTTACATAACCAAAGTATAATTATATCAATGATCATTAATCTTAACATTTCGCGGTTCAGTAACTGTTACCATTATGTAAAAATGCAATTTGTTTTTCGCGAAAGAATTAGTGTTCAATCAAGCTAACCTTACTACAGGTAATTTACATCATGATGATAAAAAAATTGATCGATTCGGATACATTTATCTCTTTCACAAAAAATCATTACTAGTTCCTAATGGTAATAAAATCAGTTGGCAAATGTAGTATGTTTCTATGATTAATGATTGCTTGCTAAAAACACTTTTAGTGTAACTGTATGCTTACATAATCATACCTATTATTTTATCTCAGAATATATTATAATGAAGACATCATTAATATAGACCATGTGTCGATTGCAAGTTTTTTCCCAATTGCTTGTTTTTACTCATTAATACGATATATACACATGAGGAAACGTTTTAGAAACAAAAAAACGAGGGGACGTCATCAAATATGATAAATATATTGAATTGTACGCTTGGCTAATTGTAAGACAGTCGTTTCAGGGGGGCCTGCCGTTTTGATGATGTCTTCTAATGAATAATTAACTAAAAAGTACCTGAGCATTAAATTAATTTAGGTTTTTTAATTTAACTTGTAAAATACGAGTTTTTTCATGGGCGTCATGAATTATTTGTGTGTCATTAATTTGATTCAGAATACAATTGTATGGTTGATGAATATACATTACACACAAGCATACATACACTATTTATATATGATAAAAATAAATTATTTTTAAGTAAAATTTAAGCTTTTCCATAGGCTCAAGAAAATCTAAAAAAATATTCGATAACTAGAATGCCTATTGGGAAATAGGAGTTTATGGAAGAAGGGTGAAAATTTAGGTCTGTATGTATTTTGTCGAAAAAATAAGAAAATATGCTAAGGGTGGTGTGCTGACCCTTACCACTTAGGCGTATGAAAAATAGTTGTTCATTTTGAACGTTATTATAAAATTTCATAAAAATCGGTCAAACCATTTTAGAGAAGTATTTTTCCATTACCATCACGACACGATATACGAGGTCTGTTCAAAAAGTACCCGGAATTTTCGTTTTTTCAAAAAAATATTTATTTATTCGTCTACATTAATGTGGTCCCCTTCAAAGTAGTCCCCCCCAGATATAATACACTTATGCCAGCGTTTTTTCCAATTTTCGAAGCACCCTTGATATTCACTTTTTGATATGTCCTTGAGCACTCTCAGCGATTTTCTTCAATCGAGGAAAACCGCCGTCCTTTCATGGGTCTCTTCAACTTTGGGAATAGGAAAAAGTCACACGGAGCCATATCTGGTGAACTTTTGCACTTTGCAACACTTTATTTCCATTGTAAAAATCGCCGAGCTCAGAAAAACACGTCGAACCTTAGCGACTACCACAGACAAAGTAAACAGTGAATATAGCTGAAAATTTCATCATACTTTAGGGGCATGTATACCAACACAATAAAAAAAAAATTTTGACAATCAGACACTCCAGACCCGCGAAATTTATTTATTAGTAATTCCGGGTACTTTTTGAACACACCTCGTATATATGTATGTGTGTGTGCATGAGTGTGTGTATGTATTACACTATAAATATGCCTGTATAATTTTATTGCTCCTATAAAATCAATATTATCAATTTTATCGCATTTGATTCAGCTTGCGGTCTGGACCCGTGCACACGTTCTCAAAAGTTAAAGGGTATCCGTTTTCCCTTACCCTGAATACGATTTTCCTGCGGTCGTTTCATAGTTCCGTTTCATATTTTATTAACCGGAAAATGCGAGGTTAAGTCCTCGTTTTATGCTGCATCGTTTTTCTTCATCCGCCGTTCGACGCTAATCTCGAATATATCGGCGGAGAGCAATATGCCTCGTGTGTATTTTGACTATTATCGGCTGATTGGAAGGGGTGTAACTAACCCTATCGCGATTTATGTTATTTGTATCATATTGAATTTCCCCTCAGTCGACATTATTATTTCAACGTCATGGATTTTCAAATATATTACCGGTATTGTTGAGGGTAAATGCTTATTTTTTATCGGTAGTTATAAAATGATTCAGTGGTTTGTCGATTCGATTTCGGATTTATGGTGGAATATTGATAAGCAATTGAATTAAGACTTTGCACAAAGAAATTATTTTTTCTATGATAAACATTATTAATTTTCGTTTTTTCTTCCGTAGGTCTGTCAACAATGGTGCTTGGAGATGACGAAGCTATGGACACACGAGAAGGCGAAGATGTCACGTTAAAATGCCGATTCCATCTGCAACCATTATCAAATCTCACATATTTCTGGTTGAGGAACAATAAACAAAACCACGACAGTGTGGCAATTAATGATGTGCCATTGGATAAAAATTACAAGTAAGGAAAACATCATTCATCAGTTTTAATTTATATGTTTTAAATTGATTAGTATAATTGTATGCTGTATATTTATTAAATAGGTAGATTTATATAGAGTCAATGTGTTATTCTCATGCTATTGTTAAATAAATTCCTAAGCAATATAGTTGATGTCGACGACCAAAAACTAGTCATTCCGATACTGATAACGACATAATTCGCGAATAGCTCGGCACGCGAATGTTATTGGATACCAGTTCGGCGATACCTATTTTGCATAATCGAAAACGCGAACACGTTTCTCTGTATACAATTTTAACAGAAACACATTCCTGTATTGTCGAATTGTTAACTAATTGCTTTACACTAATCGCAGAGAAAATTATAAAACAAAAATTATAGAAATATCTATCTGATAGAGCAGATGCAAAGAAAAGGGGAAAAAAATCTGGGAACAATATTAATATATACTGAATTATATATTGCTTAAGTAATAATAATAACAAAATTAAATTATAAACACATAAAATTTTAATAAAATTATGTTAAAATGTAAATGGCTTAATAATTGAAAAATCCAAAGTCACATAAAATGAATTTAAAAAAAACTTACACATTATATGAATATTGACAACAAGAGCATTGACCAAATATTGCAATTAGATGCAGGAAAAATTTCCAAATAAATCCTAAACTATGATATTTACAATTATCAAAATTAATGCAGAAATTAAAGTACTCTTCTGTAATATACAATAAAAAATAACTTGGAGAAATAATTCATTAAACTAATAAATATATTATTAATAAAACTTGAGGATATCTTTACTAATTTAGATTTGTGACCGAATATTTAAAAAACGTAATATTTTGATTATATTCTTAAAGATTTCAAAACAATTATTATAAATATTATTATTTACACATAATATCCTACTATTTAAAGAATAAAATATAACTTGTTGTCAGTAGCATTTTACCTTAAGGCAAGATGTATAAACTTTCTGATACGTATGCAAAATCAACTTAATAGAGATTTAGCTAGTTAGGTAAAATTTTTCACTGTATATTACAAAAATAAAAAATTTGCTTTCACTAAAAAATAATCGATACGATTTACAATTTATGTTTTCATACATACTTATAATTGTACAATTGATTTCATTTCATTTACTTGCTGTTCTAAAAATGTAATTTATTTAAGTATGTATATAAAGTCAACTGTAATCAGTATCTACCTACGAAACACCACAGAACGCACATATGTTATGCATTGGCATAGATTCTGATTAGAATCGCTCAAGCTCATGGCGAAGTTCTGAACTTTCATAAATTTTTATAATACTTTTTCCAAATTTGGTCTCATTCGATTCAGAAAGACTTGAAACGCAAAAAAACATGAAACTAGCAAGTCGGATGTTTTCACGAAAACATAAACTTCTTCTGGAAGTAAAACGTTTCTTTATATATACTTTTAATTATAATTGTCTTACTAGAACATTCAGTAATTGTTTTGACTTTATTATATGAAGTTTTAAATGGATAGCAACCAATAGTTGTTCAATCCAGTTGAAATTAATTAACTTAACTCGAAGTACATATTTGTTGTATTTTTTTAAAAATATTTTTTAATGAGACTGTTAAATAATGTAAAATTAAATATTAAAATAATCTAGTACATAACATGAAAAATGAAATGTAGTGAAGTAAATATTGCTATAAATATCTCTACCGAAATTTAAGGTATAATAACAAACTGACTCCGCAAAGGGGAAATATGCTCATTCACAAAATTTGAATACGAAATCGTATATTTGTTATTGCTTTATTATTGTATATGTGGATATATACGAATATAGTATTATATACGTAAATAACATTATTGGTCCGTAATTCGCAGTTTCCTACCGCGTCAAACATTTGAGCTCTTCAACCCCGACTCGTACATCGCCGTGTTGTTTTAGCGAATAATTGTATGCACGAGCAAACGCTGAATTGAACCCACTGCTTGTCTATTTAATTAGTATCATACGAGATTGCTACACCAAAGAGAGGGTTAATTGAGAGAAGATAAATGAGAAACAATATTGTGAAAAAGTTAAACAAAAATGATAAAAACTACTTTTTAATTTAATTAGTAGCCGATGTAAAAGAACTTTGAATATTCTAATTTAACTTAATAATTCAAAGCTTCAGTTAAAAATAATATGAAGCTAGAGAATGCGTAGTTCTACAGAAGATAATTAAAAACCTTTTATCCCGTATATCCTAAACCTAATGATTTATTAGCAGCAATATCCGTCCATTCACACGATGAGCACGTTATTTGCTATACTGCTAACCCATCGGATATCATATTCTAATCGAATTGAAGTTTATCAGATTTAATCGGCACATTAGATCTCGGCTCTGTTGCGCTGGCTGTGTACCATTGCAGATGTTTGATTTTGTGCCCGAGTTTGAGCCCCGAAATACCGCCATGTGGCATACGTATGATTCTAACCCGAACGGAGTAAATTAGATCGGATATTGGCCATCGCAAACATTGCCTATTGCTTCCCAACAAACCCTTTCGGATAGATTTGGAATATATCTGCGATTCTGGATCAGTTCGGTGTAACTGTATATTTTTTCAATAATTTATACACTATAATGAACATTTTAGCGAATAGTAACTAGTATGAATATTATAATAATATATTTCTTTAAACATTAGAAAAATGTTAAGTGGCATGGTGAAAAAAATTCCAGAAGCATATGAATCGCATATAAATTTGTATAATTTACAATTTTTAGATAATATAAAAGAATAGTTTATAGTAAACCTTGGTCAGGATTTACCCAAGGATGAAGCTCTTTAATACCCTCAAACATTTGTAGATTTTCTCCCATAGATTCAATTATCGAATAATTCGAATGCTATCTACAAATATATATATATTTCTATTTGAACTGTTTAGCGCACCAATCAAATAAAGAATGTTTTTTTTGCTTTTGTTTTCTTTGTTCTAAAATATCAGCCACAATTTAAATGTTATAAGACATTTTGTGATAATACCTTTTAAATACGTAGCTCTTCTTGCAGGCTACCCATTAATTATTTTTTCTATATTTGATGCGCGGGTAGTCTATTTTTACTTAGATACTTATTTTCACATTTGTCTTTAAGTAAAAATTGATATCACTACTGCTTGAAATCATGTTGTCTGAAACGTAGTTTTTAATCTGAAACGGAGATAGGCGTTTACCTAAGAGGTGCAAATCGCCCTCTTAGGGTCTGTTCATTAATCTAGTAATTGTTTTTCGAGCGAGAGCGACCCTTTGCTGTTTTAGGCGCAAAATCACGGCGTCACATAAATATCAATGGAAGTAATTCTAGCATATTTATGCATTTACATTTGAGTGGTATGCAAAGATAAAAGTTGTACTTGATCGTTATCCGTAAAATGGTGGAATATTATTAGATCTTTTAACCAATTTTAGTAGGTGCCACCAAATGAACGAAAATTGCCCATATCACCGGACACTAAGTCGTCCCTTAGTACCGGACAGTAAATATATTGATATTTCTTCTGAATATACGTAATTTATTCCAATTATTTAATTTTGTTCTGTATGCGTGCTAATGGTCACTACATACCCCAATTTTTCGTATTTCCTAGTCAAAGAATGAAAGGCTTCTGGTGAATGCACCAGCTAAAAGCATCGGTGTGGCCCAGCCAAAAGGGGGGATGAATAGTGACTTTTTTTGCAATATCTAAGAATATTCGTCAAAGACACATGTGCAGACATTCCAGAGTGTGGAGATTGCTACATATTTGATCCATGCAGGTTGTTTTGAAATGTCCGGCACTAGGTGCCACTGTTTAAAATCATATTTTTTGATACCAAAGTTTGATTGATAGTAATAATTATTTTTAGCAAAGATTGCGGTTTTGTTAATTCAGTTTGATTTCTAGCTTTGTTATCTAACATAAATCTGAATTTAATAAACATTTCGTAAAATATTTTTTGATTTATTTATAAATAACCTAAAGTGTCCGCCACTAGGGGACTTCCCCCTACGCTACAAAATAAATAATATAAGTAAATTAACAAAATAAAGTGCAATATTTCTACAGATTGTTTGCAAGTATATTTCCTTTACATTTGAGGATACCAAATAATCCCCTCTCAAGTCTCGTTTGATTATGATCTCCCTGTGCTTAAATGGGTCCTCGATCCAGGTACGATTGCCTTCAGCCACATTTAGGAAACGCTCGATACCTGAGCCCAATGTTTTTGATTAGTCCCAACGTGTATCTTAATAGCGAGATAAGCGAAGGGAAGTTAACCCTACGTAGTACTGCCGAATCTACAAAACTTTGCTATTGTTATGACAAGCATAGGTTTATTGTAATATAATCAAGCTACGAGAGGTAGTAGTGTATAATTATTGTTGATAAAATAACAATAGTAAAGGATCGAGTAGCTATATCTCGAATGTAATAAAGTTTATATACCAACGGAGGGACAAATTTCACCAAATAGTAAGTGGGAAGCAGGAAATTGGTAAAAGTAATAGAAGTAGTGTAAGAGGCATTTGCCTCAAGGCAACTATTAATTATATTTTCTGCTTTTTAATCTACTGAGTCACTTTTAATTAAATCTATGTGTTTTTGTAATCAGCGAACCGATAAATTTGCCCTAGTCAGTAATTTCATTCTCCGTTTTGGCAGCGAACAATAGTTTCTGATTTCGTGCACTCCTACGGGACTCTGGTCGAGTATTTCTTGATTCAACCAGGAGTGTCTTCTCTTCGTATTTTGTGATTTGTAAGCTCTGTACGTGAGTCGAAATCTTAAACCAAAACGCGCGACCGCCTGCCGCTAAATTGTCCTCAATTAGACGCTTTTTGCTCGAAGTCTTCTTCATATATTATTTGGTCTTCAGTTTTGCTTCGGATGTCCTTTTCAATGTCCTCGTTTATTTTTCTTCCGTTGTCGTCTGTGGGAACAACGGGTGAATTGTAATTTTATTGTTAGGACTCACGCGTATCGCGACTTCTTATGAATCATTCTATAAAGTTATACTATATATAATATTTTGTAATTAGGTTTTCTGCATCAGTTTTGAATCTTTTTCTCACTATTGTTACAGATAATTTCCTTTAGAGCATTGTTATTCTATATGTAATGCAACTGATGATTTGATTTGCTGAACTAATGTATCTGAATCAAAGCCTAATGAGCAAATGAAAATGTTAGCAACATTTTACTTGCAACAGAAAAACGGTTAAATTATGCAGTAATTCGTTGCAAATATATGACATAACCTAGTTTTTTTTAAAAAAATCGAAATGTCTTCTGGCAACTTGTATATTACAGTCAACACTAGTCAGTTTAGAACCACAGTGTACATACTCCAAAGCCAGTTGTCGTTTGTCAATTCCACTTGAGTCTGTAAATAATTTAATTCCTTGAGATCTAGTTCGTTTTTTCTTCTTCCGCCGTTTACTGCACTTCTTTTCAAACAAAATTATGCCTTTTCCAACTTTAAGTGTTTTCCAGTAAACGCGTTCTGAACAAACATCCAATTTACACGTTTGCGGTGTTTGCGTTGTGAATCATTCGGTTGACCTAAATACATCTATACGAAGGCTAGAAGAATTTTCATACCACAGGTAGAATGTCCGACGGTCTGAATAATTATTAATTCCAATCAGCAAACCCACGCATATGAAATAAACGTCGATATATTCAATATTTGCTTAAATTAATGTAAAATCAAACTGTAATGAATCATAAATCTGATTGTGAGAGGTATATGGAAGATAAAAAAGTAACACTGGATAATATCATTTTTTGAACGGTAAATATTATATTAAAGTAAAAACAAGAGTTATTGATACAATTCCATATCGAATAATTTTAAATCAATATTTTATATCTCTATTTTCATAAATTCGTGCTCTGATTTTAATTAAATTAAATTGAGATTTTCATTTCAAGGTATCGGGTAGAGCTAATAATATTTTTTCAAAATTCAAGTTGTTCAAAGTTATAAAGTTACTTATTTGGTAATTTTATTATAATATTGATTTTGTATCATTTATTTCGTTGTTTGAACAATCCTGTGATCCCAAATGAATGTTTTCTCTCTTTTCATAATTTTAATGAATAAACATCACAATTTTGCTAAAGTATTTGCAGAGCTCACAGCAATGTATTACGACGACAGAGAACGAGTTACATACATCACATACTTTAGCAAAAACATTTGTACAGTAATACGATAAATGTTTAAAATCCCAAGCTGTATGACATCTAGTACCAGAAAAGATATGAATTGCCCAAATTTATCATTGTGCTGGGAAAAACACAATCAAAGGATTTATAAACGCATTTGGATGTTTTCTTCTCTACTTAGAATTGAGGATTTAAAACAAATTGAAGCTTCTGGTAATCCGACTCTGATTCTGATTTTAAGTTAATGAAAAAACTTAATGAAAAATTCTAGAGAAATAGTTCGAAATATGATAATATTTTTTATAGATAAAGTAAATAAAACTCAAACGATAATCTATAGTTGCTCCATAGAGAATCAGGAAATTAATTGAATATAAATAATATGGTTATCAGTAATGGACATCGATAATTTTGAATTTGATATTGCCATATTGGAAAGCATAATTTTTGAAATGTATTTTAAGATTCATTCGTATTGAAACCCATTCGTTTTGATTCTGTTATATTTATTGACATATATTTAATATTTTTTATATAAGAATATGTTGTCGATCTGTTGAAGAACTTCATTAGGATGTTTTATGATATTATTAAGAAAAATTTGATAATTCATGTGAGATAATTAAAGAGTAATTCCTAGTTGATCAGTAAGAAGTGATTAATTTCACTAATTTATTTCGCTGTAAAGACAAACTGTAAATGTGAGCATCATAAAATATATCGAATATATTTTTAAAGTTTAAATTGAATCTAAATGATTGTCATTTTGTAAAGACCAGCTTTACCTCAACTAGCGAACGCTTGCGTGTTTTGTAAACGTGCAGCCACGTTTATTTCAACTCCACAAATGTTATATTTTCTCTTTGAAAAAAAAAATATTATGGTCCGAGCGTTTATATTTACACACATGTATATATATATATATATATATATATATATCCGACAAAACAAAAAATTACTTCTGCATGTGTATGTGACAAGATTAACGAACTCGCGCCCCCCATTTATATGGCCAGTGGACTTTTGAAAGAGATTTGCTCGTTTATCCAGCGATATAAATTCAGAGTACGAATTTTTCGGACATTTCTATTTATCATTCCTCGCGATGCCGCATGTTTATCAAACGCAAGGCTGCTTTGTACACTGATGTGTGTCCTGGATTTTAATAATTTTCATAACATTCCAAATAATGTTCCGCATTATTTTATACATTTTCGTAATCCAATTCAGCCGTACAGATTATACTGATGTATTCCAAAATTAGAACATCAATTGTTTGGCATTACCATTCATATCATAACTAATCCAAATTAAATTTAAAACTGTATATTATAAAATAGCTCTATTTAACCCGGATATGTCCATTTACCCTTACGACCTTCGCATGAAATAATTTTCTCCTATGCGGATAACATCGAGGTATGATAATAAAACATGTTAGATAAAACCAGAAAAAAATCTAATTGCGATTTTATGACACTGCATAACGCTTCCGGATACTAAAATGTTTATGTGCACTAAAAGCAGAAAAACAATACGAAGACGTTCCGTGGAAGTAGATTGTGCTTAATAAATAGGAGAACTCATGACTCATCATAACTGCCCTTTTCTTGTAGCTATAAAATTGTACAGGTTCGTGGGGCCTCAACATATGAGAAAAGAGCATGTTTTGTAAATTAAAATCAAGCAAAAAAGTATATCATAAAAGTTTTAGATATTTTCTTGAAATTCTTTTGTATTTTTTCTAGATTGGATTATCGTCCAGAGCAAGGACGTTACGATCTTTTGATCAAAAATGCTTCATACGATCGCGACAATGGTCGATTTGAATGTCGAGTGAAAGCCGGAGGTTCTGGTGATAATTTACACGAACAAAGCATGGCTCTCACAGTTTTGGCACCACCTAGGCAACCATCAGTGTCACCAGGAAATAGAGCCGTTGCTACAGAAGGAAGACCTTTGGAATTGACTTGTAGCAGCACTGGAGGATCACCGGATCCCGTCATAAGGTATGTAATTGTAATTTGTTAATAGCGCGAAATTTTTTAGTCGATTTTAATATTGAATTATATTTTCTAGGTGGTATCGTGATGACTCTCAACATCCGTTAGAAGCTTCTCTGAAATACGGTGGTTCAAGAGATCAGCCAACTTCGTCGACTTTGCGCATAACTCCGGCTAAGGAGGATGATGGAGCAGTTTTCCGATGCTCGGCTTGGAATAGAGCTATGCCTGCAGGTGCTAGATTGGAAGCTGCAGTATCTCTGAGCGTAAACTGTAAGTTTATTCCTACTTTTGAGTATAGTAATTGAAATATCGATATGAAATAATCATTTGATACGATAGTGTAATCATTTTACGTAATTTTGTCGAGTTTTAGCATTTCATTAAATATTTATAACGAAATGCTAGTTTCCATCTCATTACACCAAATCGTCCTGAATATGTTCATTACATATGCTCCGACCGGATCATGGATTTGTTATTATGCAATAAATATGTATGAATCGTCCGTGTCCAACATGTAATTCCGCTCAATAGTTAGACTCTATAATACTATCTCTTTATGTTAAATCACTCGTTTTAATACATGCATTCAGGTTCACGATACATAAATGTTCATATTTACTCAATTCAAAATGTAGGGTTAGGGGCATAATTAACAGCGAACTAGATCGGCTAGGGCTTTTGGGTAATAAATGGAATATTATAAATTACTTGACATGATCAAATAAATTAGCCTCTTTAAACTCCGACCTTTTGAACGACCGTAAATATCCCGATCTAATTAGGACTACGAGCAGGGCATATCAAAAGATTAGGATGTCATTTTATGCCACATATTATATAGACAAAATCCGAAGTAATTGAAATTGGGAGGCGAATTTCCTGTCAATTAGCAAATATATATTTTGGTACAGGAATAACTAACCGGGGACAGCGATAGATAAATAAATTGATTTGTTTAATGTTTAAGATGCCATTTGAAATAATAATTATACAATATAATATAATAATATAATACCATCTGCGATGTTTATAATTTGTAGAACAAATACCACTTTTTTTCTAATTCGTTGAAAATAATACGTGCAAGAAATAAATAAGTGAAATAAAAATAGAAATAAATGAAAGTGAGAAAGAAATGAAAGTGAGAAACAAATGAGATGAAATCTTTTGTATTAAATCATCAAGAATTATATATAATTTGAAAAATGTGAACAATTTTATTCTACATATTCTATAGAATTATTTCAAAATAATTAAGTGAACCAGAAAAATCATGTTTTTTAGGTTTTTTTCACTAGATTTTTTTATTACGAAACTATCAAGTGTTTTACAATTTTACAATCCTGGTTAAATGGGCCAATTTTTTATAGAACTTCCCAACACCCTTTAGTATCAAGATTTTAAATGAGGGCCTCTCAAAGTCGAACAATATCGAAAATTTTAAATTAATGGTTCAAATAGTCTAAATTCTAGAGAATTTGGTGCAAATGTCACATTATTTTAGACTGTGGTCTCAGAATTGCAATTTACAATTGCGGTTCCAAAGATTTAATGAACAAAATTAATAACAATTGACCACAATAACCGGAAAAGGGTCACAGTTTCACCAAAGCTTTAGGTTGCACTAAAAGCTCATAATTTTCAAACTACTGGATTGGATTTTTTTTCTAATATTTTTATGATAGTTTCGATCAATACCATCATCCCGCTCTGGTTTGACGTTGAGTTTTTGGCACCCTGTATTGATCGTAGAATGAATATTCAGAATTTAAAGCTCATATTTTATATTTGATTCAGAAAACAGACTAATTTCTCTCTATTTTTGAAGTTTTTCTGGAGTTAAAAAAAGCATATCATATGGTGCATTTTCCATTAAAAGCTTGTCTTAAAAACTATTATAAATGTCATCGCATTCAACTTCTTCATAGTTCCAATTTCAACTATTAAACGTATTGCGTTGCGATACGTCTTGCCAATACGGAAAAGCTCGCTATAAAAATACATTGTGTAGCTCAGTATCGTTTGACTGAAAAGAACAAAAAAATGGAAAAGAGAAGAGAAAATTGCGCGAATCAGCGATAATATCTATTCGTAATAAAAGTCGTCAGCACGTCGAGACAGAAATATAGACGTTCGGTATGGCTCTATCATTTGTTCGCCCTAAAATATTTCAGCATTTTGATTGACACCCTCAAGGGTTTATTCTTTGCAGACTTTGCGTATTTAGGAAAAAATTTAATGATTGGGCGCTTATTTTTCTTTGCTTCAAATTGTTATTTTCGGTTGTTAGCACTGATTGGATAGAAATCGTAAATGAAATATGTTTGTACGTTTATGTTGAAGTATAAAAAAAAAAATTGATTTTTGCATATCTTTACGTTTCAAGGTTTTCTGAATATTTTGGCATTATTTAGAATAAATGGATGTGTGTATGTGTATGGGCGTGTAAATTCAAATTTGAAATTGATATGTCTTCAAATGATTTGAAGAGCACATATCGACTGATTTGAATTATTCAAAAAACATTTGAATCCTATTGATGGGTAGACGTGGTTCTTGGCAATGACAGGTCTAGCTGTTTCGAAGATACGGGCAAAAAGTGCAGACAATTCCAATTCACCGTTAGAGAACGGTGCGTCCGATTTGAATGATTCCAAAACGTTTTTACTTGTATTGATGCAACAGATTAAATTTTTGGGACGGTAGGTCCAGCGGTTTCGGGAATAAAGAAAAGAAAGTTAAAAAAATGTCACTTGGCGGTCAAAAATAATCATTAGATATATGCACATCAAATTATCGTACCAAGATTTATAAATGTTTAAAGTTCACTTATAAACATTCAAACGTTCAAACAAATTTCATCAACATTTTTGGCATTATGAATCAAACTGGTTTCAAAATTTAAAAAATTAAAATTACGGTGCGGGAAGTCCCTGCAATTTGCTTTAAGGCACGATGCCATTCCACAAGTTATATTTATTTTAGGCAAAAACTTCCTTATTGTATTTGCAGTAGTTTTGAAAATCTATACACTACACTTTGTATATATATATATATATATATATATATATATATATAACCCAGAAAAGCCGTTCAAATTGAAACTTTTATTTTAATTAAAACAAATGCGAAACAAAGACTACAGCGTTGGCAGATTTTATTGTTGGTCGGAAAAAATGATAAATGTGAGAACTAGAATTTATTATAGTGCTAAATGTGGAACTGTACAAAATGATATTCGTTTATTTAAAATTTCGCAGAGTTTATAAACTACGTCGTTTAAATTAAATGATACTTTTAAATGAGTAATTTGTGAAATCAAATAAAAAATGTAAAAGGGTACATAAATATATATATATTGCTAAATCCTTTTATCACACATAATACATATTTTTCAGAAGTATATGTATTAAGAGTAGAGGAATATTCTGAGCACCATAATGCTTTAGATAAATGTTTTCCCGTCGTGTCTGCTCCAGTTCGACTGGCACTTGACTGCTTTCTTTTAAGATATATACACTTAGTTCTCACTTCTATTATTCCTACCTAAGCAAAGACATGTGTCGCTTGGGATGGCATTTTCTTAACATCACAAAGACGTCCCAATGCATCCCGAATGCTTGTGCAGAGCTGACTGAAAACCATAAAAACAACAGAGAAAAATTCCGAATGACATTTCTCGCGATGTATCGCGACAATTTTCCGTATAACTTATTTTTATTGGAACGACATCAGTACAATAAACAATGCGAAAAGTGCACGAGATCTGAGAAAATACTTTTCCAGAACTAGGAAAAATATGCGAAGTACATCCTTGACCGAGACGGAAGAAGATTTTGATAAGAGTGATACAATTTTCCGATAAATGAGAATGTCTCTTGCATTTCTTATATTTCTCCATTTCTGCATTTTGGTGTTATCTGATTTTTATGCAGGAGAATAAAGTTCGACTCTTTCGGAACCGAATCAAATATTTCATTTCTAATATATCACCCACACATATTGTTGCATGTGTGTGTAATTTTGTATATTTTCCATAGTATCCACAATAATATTTCAAGTAAGCTCACTTCGTCAATGTTTCTTGTTCATTATGAATTTCGACAAAGCGTCTAGACGAGACTCCTTGAAACTTTAACAGCAAGTCGTTCAAAAGAGTTTAACCGAAACTACGTTAATGCACCAACGACAATTTACCGTGTATGTAAAAGATTATAGAATGTGATAATATGATATGGTAATGTACTCAAAATGACTTTGATGGCTTTTTAAAAATATCATATGCGACATATTAAAGTTTAGATGACTTCGAAGTTAGGGTATAAGAGTTTTAGAAGTTTAGCCAGAACAGTGTGGTACAGAACAGAACACTAGGTAGTATTTGTTCAGGTACAGGATTACATGAATTTTATATAACTATTTTTATTTTTGTTCTAAATTATTAATTCTGAATTAATATCTAAATAGCTGAATCTGCTATAACATACAATCCATTTTTTTATTAAAAAAGAGCTCATAAAAAATATGTAGTTTTTAGCATAAGTATAATTCCTTCAGATAGAATTATTTATTACATGTAGTTAACATAAATTGATGAACTTTCTGAGTTAGATATAATATAGATAGCGATGTAACTATGAAATCTCTATTTATTAATAAATAGCTCATGAGTATTATGTTTATATATGTTTTCTTTTATTAAACGCAAAAAATGAACTTAATATAAAAGATCTGTTAATTTAAAATGAAATAAATCAGTACGTGTCGAGAGGGTCAATTGCTGTAAATCAATTTATCAGAATCCTCAATCATTTCATTTGTAACCAATTAGTTGACCTTCTTTATTTATTGACAGCCGCCGTTAAGTCAATGATTCTATTTGTTACGGATTTATTTTTATGAGGCTTTAATGAATTAGACATTTTGCAAGATATCTGTACATACATACATTAATTATCCTATACTATAGATACAGCATTAATTAATTATTAATTAAATTATTTATTATTCTCTTGCAATCTTTTAAATTATTAATATAAATTTTAATAAGCTCTGACTTAACTGTAGCAGTTTTAATCATGATAAATCCTCCTGGCATTTCCTTAAAATTTAATTTCTCATCGCGCCGTTCCAAAAACGGTTTTTATAATCGAATACGACGTCGGCTTGATTAATACTCGCGCATTACAGATCGTTTGTTATACTAATAGGCAACTAATAGAGTGAAGCAAGTGAAGGAGACACTCCTGTATCTATAGAAACGTATAATACAAGGCATCCTAACTAACAACACTTCAGAAACTTCGATAATAGTTCCTTGGAAGGTTTCCCGACACGAAACTTACGGCCGACGACGAATCGATTTTCGTCAAGCATATGTCGCATTCCTAATAACACGATCGTTTAGGTGCTAAGACTTTTTCGCACTTGGAGAGAGTTGAGAGAGTCCGCTTTTCGGAAGTTTTTCCTACTTTACGCGAAGGAAATACATACGTACTCTGTCATACATCATATAGAATTTTAGCAACAATCAAAAGGATAGAATTTTTTTAGTCTCATATTTTAACAGCAATTAGAACCTTACATCCTGTAAGCT